GTTTGTGAGTGAGCGATTTAAAATGTCTTGTATGGTCGCTGACAGAACTCATAATGGGTAAATGTAAATTCTCTGAAGACTGGCTCATAAATCCCACATACAAAGACTGGTTGGATAAGGATCCCGAATGGATAAAGAAAGCTAAATGCAGACTTTGTGTGAAATTGTTTGACATCTCCAACATGGGGGAGGCGGCGGTTGTGAGCCATATGCAGGGAAAAAACACTTTCGTCTTGTCACCGCATCGTCTGCACTGAGAGTCACAGCGTTTTTGGCTAAACCCAGCATGAGACCAAGTCCGACAACATCAAGTGAACTAAGTTTGAATTTTTTTTTACCGAGAAATTTGACAATTAGAGTCTGGGAAACGTATGGAATTTTGAAATTTCAAATGTGTAGGAACCCTGATTTGTTCTAAAACATACATATTTACGTTGGATAGTTGGATTTCTGTTTCACACATCATCTGTAACGTTCTGATCTAATATTCAAACCTCCCGACCGCTGAGTGAAGACAACAGAACAACGTTGCTTTTCTTCCTCTTGCTCTCTGTTTTCCATTTGCTTGTCAACTATATGCGACACTTTTTCAGCCCAAGTTAACACAGCTGATTACACTCTAGAGAGGCTGTACCGCTTCCTGGTTGTTAAATGAAATCGTGTCCTCCTCCTGCTCGTCCGTCTGCGTGGCTGCCGCCCCGTCATGTGTTCAGAATTACGACGAACGCATTTGATTTCCCTGCGATCGTGCTGACAGACCAGAATAGAATATCTTTATTTGTCAGTGTGCACGTGCGACGAAATTGCATGCCAACCTATTTGAAGTGCAAAACGGCAAACGTGCATCAAGTCAGAGGTTTATAAATAAAATAAATGAACACAATAGACGTCTGAGGACAATAAACACCAGAACGAACCGACTAAAAACAGCCGTAACTGCTCTTAACCCTGTCAAGACGCTTTTCTTTTCTTTTGAAATAATCTTTTTATAGTTAGTTTAGAAGCATTTTTTTTCTAAACTAATCCTAAAAAATGAAGAGCAAGAAAACATAAGTGGTCATTCATGATTAAAAATTAGGAAAGTGGCAGATTAGTAGGGATAAATAAAGTTTTATTCTAATTTTTTTAAAAATTCTAATTCCAATTCTGTTTAAGGTTTTGTTGTGACCGTGCAAATGCACCACTTTTCTGTAAGTCTCTTGAACATCGTCAATAGTTTATTTCTGTAATTTCAATGTCAGGAACAACGCAGAGTCGCATTCTGCCATTAAAACAATATAAAGACATGCTAAGGCTAAACAAGAGTCTCTGCTGCACATCTGTCCACACGTTCCCACTCAGCTTCTAGACTTTATATTGAGATTGTGTCACTAATATTGAACTTGCTTTCTAAACTGTTGGAAACTTTGACAATTATGAAAGTACACTGGTTTAGAATTCATAAAACAAAGTAAAAATCAAGCTGGAGGTGTTAACAGGTTTACAGATGTCTTCTTCATGGTGGTCTGTGGCCAAAATGCTTTTTTGTCACATGTCTCAGGACACCTGAGCAGCAAGGCCGAGTGATTTGACGAGCGTTTGAATCCTGTTTTTATGATTAATTACATATAAACTCCTTCCGTTCTTCCAGGAAACCACCTCTACCGCTACTCCAAGGTCCTAGAGGCTCACCTGGGCGACCCTAAGCCCCGCCCCCTGCCAGCCTGCCCTCACCTGTCCTGGGCAAAGCCACAGCCGGTGAATGAGACGGCTCCCAGGTAGTGTCATTGAAAACTACATTTCCCAGAAGTCACTTGATGTCTTGTTTTGCTGGTGATGACATTTTTATTTCAGCTTGCTTTATTTGCACTTCTTAGCAAGTGTACAGTAGATCAGAGTGTGTTTCCGTCCTTTGTGTGTCAACATTTTCATCAGTTTTCCTTCAGTCAGAGCTCAACATGAAGGAAGATCTTGTGCTTCAGTAGGAGGTCGACACATTTCAGTGATACTTTGAAGCAGCAGATTTGCACACAGTCTTCGAACATGGAGTCGATCTCGTTCTTTTTGCAGAACAAAATCAAGTCAAACTTACGACCGACTGACGTGAACTAAACACTCTGTGGAGTTTCTCACACTTTCTCTCTCTGTGTGTGTCTCAGTAACCTGTGGAAGCACCAGAAGCTTCTCTCCGTTGATCTGGACAAAGTGGCGCTGCCCAACGTGAGGCCGTACCGTCCCCAGGTCCGACCTCTGTCTCCTGGGGAGAGCGGGGCCTGGGACATCCCTGGAGGTAACAGAGGACCGCAAGGGTTCAGTTTAACCCTTAAACCAGGCTTAAAAAAAAATGTTTATAGTTTGCCTTCTCTGCAAGATGGCTACTGTATGTGAATGATTCAGTGAATAAAATGATGTTTATTGGTCCACATTCAGACAATCACCTTTTCACAGTTAAGAAAGTGCATCTGTACTGCCAGCATTTTATAGTGAGATGCATGTAAGAACATAAAAAAGTCACAATATTAACCTCTTATTTCTCTGTGCTTATTGATCTGATCAAATAGTAAAGAGAATAAAAAATAAAAGATAGAAAGAAAATACAAATATATAAAGTAGAAAATTAAAAAAAAATATTTAAAAAAAAATAAGAACAAATAAATAAAAGTAAGAAAATGCTAATAATAAAATATTAAAAATTTAAAAAAAAAATAAAAAATTTGATACTGTGGTACTATAACCCAAAATGTGATGTCCAGGTCTTAAGAGGTTAATCACGTTTTTTCTTGATGTTAAGGTTAATATACGAGCTATGCAAATTTTAACCCATCAGATGACAGAAGATCTGGATAACTCGGACTACTCCGGTAAAAACAACATAAAGCATGTTCAGTTAGCCCTGATAATGACCAAGATATGAGCTTTAAAGGTGAAAACGTAGTGAAGTTACCCTGAAATTAACTCTGGCTCGCAGCTCTGAGAAGTCTGACTATTAGTAAGTTATTACATACCGATTTATTTATTCCGACTTTAGATTTAGAACGGCATTTGTGCAGCGTTGGCAGAGGAAATGGTATTAATAACCTAAATAGGAGGATTCATGTTTTTCATATCAGTTTTCATTATACAGGTTTGTGGTTTTTATTAGTAGGAAAATGTATGAAAGGACAGGCTTGTCATCAGAACAATCTGAATTTCCTCTGGTGTCATTTTGGTGCTTTATTTCTTCATAGTCTTAATCTGCAACATGCATTTTTGCCTCTTCATTTCTTTTAAGCGTTTTTTTTAGCAGCTGTCAACATTACTGTTGTAACCACAGTCACAGACGAGGCTGTTTTTAGTTGTTTACATTATCGATAGACTGATTGTCGACTTATTATCGTGGCCGATATGTGGCATTTTCCCCAATTATCTGTATGAAATGTGCTCCTTCATGTCTGATGCAGCCTCCTCTCGTCCCTCTGTTGTCTCAGAAATGTCTCAAGCAGAGACTGTAAAACTGAACAAACCAAACTAAGGCTACGCTAACAGCTAGCAGCTAAGTTAGAAGGCAGATTAACCTGAAACAGAGTCTGAACAGCAATAATTAATCATGTCTGTGAAGGTTCTCAGTCAACCCCATTGTCGCAGGAGGAGCACTAACGACCCACATAAGGAGGGGGAGGAGCAACAACCCCCCAGTTGAAACCCAAACTCAGGTGTTAATGACTCCTTAAGGATAGAAGTATCTGGAACTCCCAACTAGTCAGTCAGAGCTGATGAAGCCTCTTGGATGAGAGGTGGAACGTCTTCAAGGAAGTCAAGCAAGTCCAGTAGCTACGATTAATCTAAGAGAATAATTAGTGATGCTTTAAGATCTGGACCTTTGTGGGCAATAGAAGTCACAGAAGATTATTAAAACAGAGAAGAACAGCAGACCTTCCTACAGGAGATAAATGGTGGAGCGTCCTAATGTAATCACTCCTAGTTCTGTTTGACATATTCAGTTCTAGTCGCCCTTATTAATGGAGAAGCCCAGTTCTGAACAACAGCTCCTCTGCTGTTAAAACATTACATTTATCGACTCCAGATGTTATCGGTTATCCGTCTTTCCCGATGACCAACCGTCCTTCCCCTCCTCTTCTCCAGGGATAATGCCCGGCCGCTACAACCAGGAAGTGGGTCAGACCATCCCCGTGTTCGCCTTCCTGGGCGCCATGGTCGTCCTGTCCTTCTTCGTGGTCCAGCTCACCAAGGCCAAGAGCAAACCGAAGCGCAGGAAACCTCGCATCAAGCGGCCGACGTACCTCCAGCAGCAGCAGCAGCAGCAGACGACGACGACGGCGACGGGGAAAAACCCCACAGTTTGACTGAAACTCTTGATTTCACCTCCAGAACTGTTGAAGGGACGACTCGCGTTGACGTCGGAGGTTTCGAAATCGACGTCGGACTGCTTTTAAACCTGAAGCCTGCCGGACATGAACCAGGCGTCTCCTGGGACAGTTTTTGTGCCTCTTGTCTGTTCTAAGGCTGTCGTGGGTGTTTGTGTGTGTGTCTGTGGACCAATGAACAGTATTAGACCGTGTTGTTACACACCTGATGTAAAACACACACTTAAAACACACCTCAAGACGCCCGACAGTCGTGGCGTCTACATTTCTCTCCTTCGACCAAACTGTTTCTTTATGAATGAAATGTGTCTGACTTTTATATTTATTGAATTTGTTCGTACCCTAAACACACAAAACACGAGCGCACATTCACAACAAGGCAAACACACAAACACACGACACACACACACGTAATCATGCAGGTGTTTTTTGCAGCATCACAGGAGGATCCAGTTGTGTGTCCCTGGTTTTGTAAGTTTCTGCCCACATCTGTTTAAGAATCACTTGTCTTTCATTGTTTTTATATTTTCTATAACGGATGAACTCTGGCCGGGCGTTCTGCTCATATCGTCCTTCATGATCTCAACAAAGTAGCATCGACGGACTTGTTCAGATATATCTCATCAATTAAAAAGCATAATCAAAGTGATCTCATTTGGTATTTCTTGAAATTCTTTCCGGTAAATGCGTCGGTTTTTGCGGTTGGCTTTGCAGCAGCTCAGTTTTTCTAAAGGTTTTGCGTAATTTTAGGGAAAAAAACGTCAAGTTTCAAAAGCAATCGTCAAAGTTATTGCATAAACTGTCGATTATTGGTTATTTTCTCCATCAATCGGTTAGTTTTTGATCTATAAATTGTCCTAAACTATGACAAATGTCCATCAGTGTTTCCCAAAACAAAGACAACTGTCATAAAAGAAGAAAGAAACCAGAACATATTCACATAAGAAGCTGGAATCAGACTTTTTTTTTCTAAATGACTCAAGCTGAATGATAGTTGTCAACTAATCGATTCGTTGCTGCAGCGGAGATGTCTTTTTTTTAAATTCTAAACATTCTTCCTTGTCAGAACCAGGTGCCTACATTACCCACAATGCAGCTTGATGCTTCAAAGCCTTGAGCCTGCAGAAGGGAGCAGAGGTCTGGTAAGATCACTGTTTTCTAACTTACAATCAAAGCAGCAACTGTTTTGGTTTCGTAATTCTGTTTACAGTCAGTGTTGCTCTCCAACGTCTGTAAACGGAACCTTTTATCTGCACATTTGCCCAAAGAAGTGAAGTAAACTTTCACAGTAAGTTCACTTGAGTTCAGATTTGTCTTTACAGTGTAGAACTTTAAAATCAAACCTCTAAAAAGTCAATGTTTCACGCTGATTCCTCATTCAAATGGGGCTTGAGTTGATCTAAAGTCTACATTATTGTGGTTGAACCTCTTCCTGCCTTTGTTTTCTGTCACATGTCCACTGTTAGACAGTTTTAACAAAGTGCTCGTGTAAAACTTTAATCATAAATTCACATCTTATTGAATCTGCAGCAGCTGCCAGCGAAGAGAACAACGGCAAGAAAAATAAAGATTCCAAGTAGGATGCTGCTTGTTGCTGCTGCTGACTAAGCAATTAAGATTTATTTCTCATTCCAACTGGGACTTAAATTGATCTAAAAATGACTAAACGTGTCGTCTTCAGGGAATCCTCGTGATCTGGTGGCTGAAACGATGGTTAAACTTCTCTCTGCTTTAGTTTTCCGTCTCCTCCAAGTGTTAACTAGTAAAAAAAAATCCAAAGTTCTCTGCTACAACTTCAACCAGAAGCCTCTCATTGAATCTGCTCCAGTGTTGTTTCTTTACAGACGTAACCACCAACACAGCACTAGTTGGTTTTCTGGGTTTCAGCGGTGGGAGACGTGTTTGTGCTCTCAGGTATTGATTCAACGCTGCGATTACAGGAATCACACACGTGGATTTACACTCAATCCTCAGGAGGAAAGAAAAAAACAGTTGCTGCTGGAAGAATAGAAGAGCTGCTTTTCATGAACAAAAGGAAAAAAGTGTTTGTGCCTGAAAACACAGGCAGCAGTTGGATAAGAAGAAAAAAACGACTCCAACAGGTCACAGAACAAACTGTGATGTTCAGCAGATGTCATCGGACCGTTAAAGCCACAGTGTGTAGGAAGACTTGCTTTGGTGAAACGTGTCCATGTGGTGTGTGTGTGTGTGTTTTATATATATATATGCTAGAAGACAAACCACAGCTGAGTATTTCCACCTTCAAACTGCACAGATTCAGATTTTGCAGGCTGAAGCTTTCTGCATCTTCAGTCTTCTTCAGTTTCCGGTTGGAACATGTCAAACTCAGCTGCTTTAGAGCAGTTTTACAGTATTTAAGTTGTAGGTGAGCTGGTGTGCTCAAGCTGCAGTGAGACAGATTGATAGAGCTGCACTTTTGAGAGGAGGCAACAGCGTAAAGTTACATCTGAGCCATTTTAAGGCAGGAAGAGGTTGTTATCATGCCACACAAACCTCCTAAATGATGAGTTTTAAGTCCAGAGAGGTGTTTTCTCTCCTGTCATTGACTAAAACCTTTAAATTCTCCTCTCTGTGTGTGTCAGAGTTCCATGTTTAGAAATGTTTAAACTGTAAAACTACACAATAGTGCTGAGCAATTTGGGGAAAAAAAGTCTGAATGGGCCCTGCGATGGACTGGCGGCCTGTCCAGGGTGTCCCCTGCCTTTGCCCTAGGTCGGCTGGGATGGGCTCCAGCCCCCCATGACCCTAGTGAGGATTAAGCGGTGTATAGATAATGGATGGATGAAGTCTGAATGGAAGAAATTACGACATAATTTAGTGAAACCAGCTTCTGTTTGTTGTGTAAGTGATGGAGGTTTACTACACCATCAAAAGTGTGACTGACACACGAGCGTGAATTTATAAAACCAGTGACACAAAAACCTTAACCCCATAAAATCTGAAAAAAAGAGCCTATAATAAATCATCCCAAGAAAAACAAATGTTAAAATCATAACTTTACGAAGGTGAAATAAACCTAAACTGTCCAGATACACATATTAAAATTTCAAATTGGATAAAACTGTTTTAACTGGTGAAAAATATGACCAAAGGTTCAAACGGCAATTTTGATTTGAAATCGATGAACTTTTTTGCTTTGATGCAAAGTGGCAGCTGGTGATATTGGAATACTTCAGACAAACATGCTTGAACTTAGGGCTGCAAGGTGGCTCAGTGGTTAGCATCGTTGCCTCGAGGCAAGAAGGTTGCCGGTGAGGACACACGGGATCTTTCTGCGTGGAGTTTGCATGTTCTCCCCGTGCAGTTTGGGTTCTCTCTGGGTTCTCCAGCTTCCTCCCACACAGTCCAGAAACATGTTGAGGTTAATTAGTGATTCTAAATTGTCCATAGGTGTGAATGTGAGTGTGCTTGGTTGTCTGTCTTTCAGTGTAGCCCTGTGATAGACTGGTGACCTGTCCAGGGTGTCCCCTGCCTTCACCCTAAGTCAGCTGGGATAGACTCCAGCGCCCCATGACCCTAGTGAGGATTAAGGGGTGTATAGATGATGGATGGATGTTTGAACTGATTCTACAGAAGAATAAAGACACAGAACGCTTCACTCTGTGAGCTGACGGGATTCTTTAGGGTTTGTTACGTATGAAACTTCAGAAATCTAAATCCGTGTTCTAGAAACTCATCACATGTAAAAAAAACTTCAGCTCAAAACCACCGTCCTGCTTAATGGATGTTTTCTAATACTTTGTGTGTTTTAATGCTCAGCAAAGCAACTTGTAGTTAAAGTTTTTAGATACGCAACTGAAATCACTGCAGTTTTAAGTTGGAAATGATCAATGATTTATCTTCTAGCTTATAAAACACAACAAGTTTCTTTAATAATCTGACTTCCATGACATCTGCTGAACATCACAGTTTGTTCTGTGACCTGTTGGAGTTGTTTTTTTTTCTTCTTTTCCAACTGCTGCCTGTGTTTTCAGGCAGAAACACTTTTTCCTTTTGTTCATGAAAAGCAGCTCTTCTATTCTTCCAGCAACAACTGTTTTTTTCTTTCTTCCTGAGGATTGAGTGTAAATCCACGTGTGTGATTCCTGTAGCAGCGTTGAATCAATACCTGAGAGCACAAACACGTCTCCCACCGCTGAAACCCAGAAAACCAACTAGTGCTGTGTTGGTGGTTACGTCTGTAAAGAAACAACACTGGAGCAGATTCAATGAGAGGATTCTGGTTAAAGTTGGAGCAGAGAACTTTGGATTTTTTTTACTAGTTAACACTTGGAGGAGACGGAAAACTAAAGCAGAGAGAAGTTGAACCATCGAGGATGTTCTAGCCTTTGAATGGATCCTGTTTTAACCACCAGATCACGAGGATTCCCTGAAGACGACACACTCAGTCGATTGTTGCATCGATTTAAGTCCCAGCTGGAATGAGAAATAAACCTGAATTGCTTCGTCAGCAGCAGCAACAAGCTTCCTATTTGTAATCTTTATTTTTCTTGCCGTTTCTTGCACATTTTTTCCTTCGCCGCATCGCTGGCATCGTGGCGAAGTGCTGAAAGCTGCCAAAACATTTGGCTGCAGCCACCAGACAAACCGCTGGCAGGCTGAGCTCAGAGCGGAGGTTAAAACTTGAGGTATTTCCTCTCCGACCTGCAGGTCACCAGAAAGCATTTTGTCTGTTTCCTTGGCAGCCTGCTGAGGAGAAATAATTGCATTCCTTTTTCTGAGGAGTGATTGCAGATTGAACGGACTAATTCCATCCCACTCGGGGGGTTTTAGTTTTGGGTTCTGGGCTGAATTCAGTGATGCAGGTTGATTTCATCAGAGCTGATGTGCGCCGGCGTGCTCGAGGCGCTGAGCTTTGGCTCTTTATCCGAGCCTAATAGGCCCGACCGGCCTGTGAATCTGTCACCCGGCTGCCGCGATGACGCCCCTCCGGAGGGCTAATCTCCGTCGGAACCTTGGGAAACTGGGAGATGACCCCGGAGCCAGCTAGCTGCGCTAACGAGATTTGGGGAAAAGCCGGTGGTGAGTGGAGGTCACATGAACTCCTTTCCCTGCGTGGTTCCCAGATGCAGGGACGTCCAATCAGGTCGCCCGCTCACATCCTGGACGGAGACGCAGCGACAGGGTGGCGGCGGCGGCTGGACTCTCCACCCTGAGCGGTCCGTCGGTGGCCTCCTGATCAGACGTCTACCAGGCCGTACCGCTCCCCGCCTCCATAACATTTACACTCCGGCTTCCCCTCATGGCCCTTCCTGTTCACACGTCTGCACTTGGGTCTCTCTCGGTTTGTCGCCTCGAGGCTGAGAGTTGACTCTGTTCCCGGTTGGTTTTAGAGAAGCTGAACAAACTTTTTAAAAGAAGGAGTCATGTGATGTAAGTTCACATGCTTGACTGAATCAAAAGACTTGAAACTGAACTTTGACTAAAACACCAAAGAGCTCGTGGACTTATATAACTTGTGGCCTTTTAGAGGGATTTATATTCTGCACAAACTGAACTAAAGTGCACTCCAAGGACAGAAATACATGCATATAGATGATCACAGCTTTTTTTCTGTTCCATTTTTTTGGTTACTCTCTCACCTACTGACCTTAAAACAGGGTGTCATCTGCAAAGAAACACAATAAA